CGATCTCTAGTCAAAAACTGTTAAATTGATCAATAACCTGTTAATGTGAGCGTCAATCATCCACCTATTTGACCCGTTCAATAGTTTTTGACTGTTTTTTTAAACATTGTTTATAAGTGTATTGACCCAAATGCCCCATAGATATTCCTGCACCATGTTTTTCTGCTGAAGCTTCAGCAAGAGATCCATGTTCCTATCTTTCTGTCCACTCCCCACTTGTACTGATAGAGAAAAAAAAAAGTGTTTCTTCTAACAATCAGCACGATGCAGTAGAAAGATTTAACTGCAGGTAAACAGAAGAATGGAAGAATAAAAGAAATTTATCCAAGTCTTTCTCATCCTACTCATATCTCACAATAACAAGAAAATGCTAGTCAATGACACCCTCAATTAAATATCTATGAAGGAAGACTGACCACTAAAGGTGGTGTTTGGCTCATGGGTTTGGTTAATAAATAAAAAAAAAATCGGGACCTACTTTTCAGAAATAGAAGAAACATGGTTTTGAACCACAAAAACCCATGGAAGAGTATTCTGCCAACTTCTTGTTTTCTGTTGTTGAAAATGGCATTTCACTTTTCTAAACCATGTGGCCAAATTGATTGCATATGAACAACTATGCACAAAAATAGCATTTAGATTTCAATTGAATGGTTCCAATTTGGTGTGTAAATTGGAAAAAAATGGTAAAAAAGTAGAAAGAAATTATAACAAAAGAATGGAAAGCTCAGAGAAAACTGTTGCCTGATTGAGAATACTAGATTCATACTGTTGGAAAAACAAGGGTTTTCATGGTTTCAGGACCACATATCAAACACCCCTGTAACTCTGTAAGTATAATTATGCAGTTTTTGACTCACACTCACAAAGGATATTGTCTTAAGATTGCAATCAAATAGGGCAAGGAAATGGGCCCTAATTTATTTCCTTGTCGTCTAAAGGTCACAGTAGCAAACCCCACTCCCAACACATATAATTGACGAATCTCTATGCTTTTGAGGTGATTATCAAACGCTACTACAGTCCATACATAATAATTACAAAGATAAGCCACTAATGGCTCATCAGTCCTCCCTTTTGAAGATGCTTCAAGTTGTCACACTTTTATGGGCTTGGGTTGAGGATGTACCAGTTCAGGCCCAATTCTGACAGAATATGGGAATTCCTTAAGCCATTATACCCATAACATCTTACTGAAGACCTTTTGCTTGAACCCCAGAATAGAATCACATCAAGAAGTTGAGCTGATTGCCCTAACAACTTCAAAATCAAGTAACTGATTTGATGGTTAGCATGATAATGATGGGAGAATGACTGTTCAGCCCACCTCAGAATTCTTAGCCCCACCATACAGCCTACAGGTGAGATGAATCCTGACCGTGGATTGATGTCAAACCCACAGATAGGATGCGGTTTATGAGAGGGCTACTAATAGACTATGGGAAGCTGTAATTTCAGAATTCTGCAATGGACTGTAGTGGACTTCTCCCTCATAATAATTGCTTCATTTTGGGCTAAGGACCAACATTCCTCCCCATCATTTCCCTACTATGAACCAATGATACAAACACCATTTGAACTGGATGATAGATAGCTATATGAAATAAGCTATTTTTGTGAAGAGTCTCATCAAGCGCTATATGGATTAACATTGTAAGTATTTAAGATATCTTGAAAAATTCTCATGATATCTTTTTTTCAATGCAGCCATAATTATCAATGAAGGATTGTTCACAAACTTCCCCCATTTCATTTTCTCTTCCATATATTCTGTTGGGGTCACTTTAGATAACTTTGAAGGAGCACATTGGATTTACCTGTGGTTAGATTGGTTCTCTAACAAGTGGTTCGTTCCTTTTCCCAATAAAGTTTGAAAAGAAAATTTTCCTTCTTTCTTCTTTAGTTGAAGAAACACTTTTCTCCTCTTTTGCTTTAAGTGTAGGTGTCTTTATCTCCCTCTACCAATAACCAATCTCTCATTTAACTTTGAAGAATCCAATCAAAAGCTTACTTTTTTTCCCAGTGAAGAAAAGTTAGGACAAGACAACTTTAATACCATGAATCGTTTATGAGATCTATGTTTCATGTGTGACATGTTTGGAAGCTGCATTCAAAGCTATTGCACTTGTATTTCCCATAGAAGGCATGCTAAATTTATGGGATCGAAACCAAACCTTCATTCAGTGATGGCCCAACAAATTAATTATGGGATAACTCCTCTTGCTAGTAAAGAGATGCATGGAATTTCATCACTTCATAAATGCAAGCTTTGAAATGGAGCAACTTCTTCAGTTTGGTTTTAATAACTTCATCTCTTGGTGCTCAGGGTCACCAACTTCTTCATCAGCAGTTGGGTTTTCATTGTCTCTTTCTTTTCACTGTTCTTGATGATTGTAGCATTTTGGGTTGTACTCAATTGGAGCAATGCACCTCATTATGAATGAATTTCCTTGATGTATTCTACTTTTCTAGTTTTTCTATGTTCTTCATCTATATAATTGCAGTCATGTGATGATGTGGATGTCATCTCCCATGGTGCATGTCATGCAGAACACAATGGAGTGGAAGAGAGACCAATTGCCAGGAATTGGGAAGGAAATCTGATTGAGAATTCCCAGATCACCAGCACTTCATAGTTCATTTTCAGTGGACCATTCAATGACCAAGATAAAAGGTAGAAAAGGAAAAATAGTTAGACGGTCTAAATGTCTCTGCCATCCTTGTAGCCCTATACAACAAAGGTAGTAGCTTGTAAAATACTCCTTACTCTTTTCTCCAAAGAGATGTCAAACCTTGGTTTTTAAAACCGGACAGGAAAAGTGGAAACCGGTCAGGTCTGTTTTACCTCAGAACCGTTATTTTGCTAAAAATCATTGCTTTGGTCAGCAAATCATTGACCCGAGCAGTCAAACCGTTTGAACCATCCAATGGTTTTGGTCATTTTTTATTTTTTAAATTTTTTGTCAGAATGGGTCGTCCGTTCGGTGCGAATGGTCGGACCATTCGACCCAGGAACCAGACCCCTGACCGGTTTGTTGTTTGGTTCGGTTTTAAAAACCAGGGGTGCAACTTGGGTGGGCCCAACCCGAGCCCAAATTGGCCCAACCCGGAATTTTATACGGGATGGGCTTGGATTTTCGGTCCTTGGGCTGGGCTCGGGCCCAATAAGTCGGGCTTTTTTTATATTTTGGGCCTGCCTCGGGCCTAGCCCTTAGGTAGTCAGAACCCGGCCCAATTATATACATTTATACATATATGTGTATATATGTAAATGTTGCATACATATTTACATATATATACATACATATTTGTATATATAACTTTTGTATAGATATTTTGCATACATATTTACATACATACATAAATATATGTATATATATTTGCATAAATACATTTATATATGTATAATTTTAGAATGGGTTCATTGACCAACCCGAGCCTAGCCCAGGCCCAAGCCCATCCCGAATGCATCAAATTACAGGGCGGTCTGGACTTGAGTTGGAAAAATCGGGCTTGACCTTGGGCCGATAGGGGCATATCAGGTGAACCGATACTGCATTTTTATACTTTTTTTTCACAACTGATTCAGGGGGGCTGGTTTAGGTCTCCACCCCCTGAACCGGTCAACCCCCGATACACCCACTGTAGAAGCATATCAAAGGGGTCCCAGAACGATACGTATCAGCCAATACGTGTCGATACTTTGAACCTTGCAAACAAACCAACAACTCTTATCTCAAAAGACCATCCCACCTACGTGCCCGGAAAAAATGGCTGTCTAAATTCAACGGCCTGGGCTGTCAACTAGTCCATGTGGACTCCTTGCAACAGTATCAGCTGGAGCCTGGATGCATTGCTGGGCGAAATAACGTATCACGCAGGGAGAGCTCTGTTGACAGCCCAGGCTGGGCTGTCGAACATGTACAGTCAAAGTTTTCTGGGAAAGGCTTGGCTGTTTGGAAAAAACGAGTCCAGCTTGAGTCAGGGCAAAGCCCGTTCCAACAGCCTTTACATCCTTGCGTTGGGAATATCTCTGTAGTTACGTGATTTATTTCATAGGAGATATTCCCGATGCAAGATTGCAAGGGGCTGCTGGAAGGGTGCAAGCACCGACTTGCCCTGATAGAAGCCGAACTCAAAAAGAGTATGGATTCAGTCCTCACACCGTGTTCACAGCCTTTTGGAGCCATTCATCGGAAACAGTTCTGTATTTATATATTTTTATTCATGGGGAGACATTCCCAATGCACAGCTGCAAGTAGTTGTAAGAATGGTGTGAGGACGGTACTAGGAGGACTGAATCCGAATTTGGTTCAAAACAGCCAAGCTTTTCTCAAATTTTCTCGAAGTTCCCTGTGTAAAAGAGTTCATGTAGAAGAGGCAGGATGAAAGCTTTCCACAGTATCCACTAGCTTTATTAGAAGAGCGTCATCATTCCTTGTAGCAACTTGATAATCTTGTGAACGTCTAGGTCCAAAATCTGATTTTAGAGTCTTACTAGAACAGATTCTTCTTTTTTTCTCCCTTTACTTTTTGACAGAGGCGCTTGAACCATTCTTATCCAACTGACCACATTATTTTCTACAAAACCTCTCAGAAGTGTTTGTTGTGCAGAATCCTATACCTTTCAAATAAGTGAAGATATAACAGGTTCTTGTTATGATGAGAGAATTGGAACCACTCAAATGCCCAATTCCTCGATCAACAAGTTTCGGTCCTTCATTTTTAACTTTACCAATGGTGTCTTCAGCCTAGATTTACATTAGAAAGTGAACCATGCATACAACAACCTAAGGTCCTTTTCTCCCCTTCTAAAATGTAACAACTCGAATTGCAAAAGACAGCATCTTCTCCACCCTCTCTTCCATGATTCAAACGAGCTCTCTCCCAAGTGCTAATACTTTTTGCTGGACAACCCAGCATTTTCTCAAGACAGTACAGATGGGTCCGAAGCTGTTCCAACAATAACCACCACCATCATTGAATATTGAGATTCCATATTAAAGGAAAAACACTTCTCACTAGTGGCTTTATTAAGAGAATGATGTGAATAACATTTTGAATAGGCAGTCATAAAGAATTAGCACCAGATTTTTGAAGAATATAACAGCTGCACCTCTTTTTTGCTTTCCTTTTTTTCTTCTTTCCCCTTTTTTAGTATATGTACATCCCATTCTATCGATGAGCGATGATGATATCTGCCTTCAGAAAAAGTTGATGGTGATTTGCGCTAAAACAAGTAAGCAGTGGTGGGCATGTCAAGGGCTTAGGTTGGTTGTCTTGGAATATAGAGGTTCTTCAGTCCTTGTCAACAAGTTCACAGCTATAAGCTCATCTCCTTAGGTAAGCTCATTTCAAGAAAATATAAGCTGTGAAAACAGTAAGAGAACTTGTAAGAAATAAAATACTTCAAGTAGGAGAACAATCAGAACATAGGAACTCGCACTACTAAGAAGATGAACCAAATAGGACCTAGTAATGTATCTAAAATCTATACAGTTTGATTCTTTCTTTATCTCCATTAATCCATTTGATCGTAATAAAAGAACTGCTTTGTGTGGGCAAAGTACCAAATGCGATCACCTGGCACCCTATGCCACCGGTAGAAAAGGACTGCAACCCTAGGAAAACATGCTAGTCTGCAGAATGCAAAACTGCGGGTTGTCATATGTGTTTACTGAAGCATATTTCCATAAGAAACCTAAATTCTTAGCTTGCAAGCTTCAAATTTTAGATGATCTGTCAGGTATGATACTCTGGATCCCAGCTCCTGGTCTTTAAAGAGTTTGGCAAGATCAGCATCTTGCAGAAAACAATAACTAAAGAAAAAAATCGTTACAGTAACAATGAATAAGAACTGCATGTTTTTAGTTTTTAGTTATTTCCTGTTATAAAATAAAACAAAAAAATGTGGTGTTCCTGTATAAATTAAAAACAGATTTTCTTCAGGGGAAAAATCATTTTCATGGTTTAATTCTGGCCACATGACAGGATTAACTGAAACTTTGGTCTAATTAAACATGCATTAAGATTTAAGAACTATGTATTTATTTCATATATGCATAATATATCTTTTTGGATCGTCACCTTTCTATATTATCATATAACAACACAAGGTTTTTTCAGTATTATATATTTATCGTTTATGTTTTTCATTGACAATCTTAAATCAACAAAAATTTCAGTCAAATTAGACTTTTCACTTAATAATTTCAATTTCTTTCAATCAAAGCTAAACTGAAAACATTACTTGATGTCCCTTATGAAACAACAATAACAATGTTTATCAGGACTATTAGAAACTATGTTCCTGATCACTGGCATTGCAACTATTCCCCAAAGGCCCTTCGTCATGTGGAAGGAAGTTTATAGAACCCGTGATATTTTAGCCGTTTTCATTTATAGTCTTGACATTGAACTGAAGCATTTCAATAGTTTTCTCTTTGTTATGAACCGGAGTACCTTGCAGACATGAAAGCCATTCCAAAGAAAACGGCTTTGACAGCTTGTTTATGTCCTGCATACTCAAATGCCAATGGCAACATCTCATGCAAGGTGAGAAAAGCCATCACTCCACCAACTGCATGGAAAATAAATATGGAAAAACAATGTCAAAGCAATAGACATAATTTTGGTTGTAACTTGAAAAAGAAGACTCAGATTGCATCTCAAACCTGCTCCAAGCAAGCCCTCCAGAATTTCAGGACTAAGACTGCTTGGGAATAGGTATGCTGCACAAAGGGGAAAAAATATATGTGAATGACCTGTGTGCAACTTCTTAACATTCATCAGATAGGGAACCTCCATGAAATGTTCACTATTCACTAACCTAATCTATGTCAGACCTATACCCCCCCCCTCAATTTTAATGGAGTTTTTTTTTCTTTGATCAGGTAATGATTTTATCGGTGATAGTAGGAATATACAGTATATATTTACAATGCTACATAGTCTCTAAAAAAATCATAAATTACTATACTGGAGCTAGAACAAGTGATATTAGTAATTCAAAGTTTGAAACTTCAAAAGAATGCCCACAAATAAGTGCTTAGTTTGAAATTTCAATACATGACAAGTGCTTTTCAGCTAAGACCTTCCCCATGAATCAAGGCTCTTGGAAAAAGTTACAAGGTAACATTTTATTTTATTCAAGTAGTAGCATGCTTTTTCAAACAAAAAAGAATCACTAAGAAATTTCTTAAGTACATAAAAGCACATGCATGCACTAAAAACCAATTGGCATACCTACAATAACCACCCCAAGTGGTTCAGCAAAGCCAGATAGTGTTGCCAGTTTGAATGCCTGCCATTTGCTGTAACATGACAACAAGGTACATTTAGATATACCAGATGCAATTCCAAAGGTATATATACATATATGCACGTTAACTTTGCAACATAGATTTCTGAAGATCTTTTAAGAAATAATGTACATGGTGCTTCTTGGGGTATCCAAGATGTCACAGGTTCTTCTTCAGGTATTTAAAATAGGTTTAGTAAAAGTCACATAAGATGCAGGGGAGATAGGATGTTGCCTTGATTACAGGGTGAACTGCCACCCATCCTCATTAATAGCTCCTTCTTGGAGCAAGTTACACTATTATAAGTCATCATTGAATTAGGATGGGATCTAGCAGTTAAAAATGTTGCATTTTTGGATGAGTGGGTACCTCAGTAATGGGAGAAGGGTACCTTTATCAAGACAGCTTTGTTTAACCTCCACGTACATGTTGGGGTCGTTGGGACTTCAATTAAGCCTAAGGATATCTTATTCTCTTCCACTCCCCTTGTCTTTTCTTTTTCTTTCTCTATTTGTTGTCTTATCTCAGATCAGCTTCAAGAACTACATTCTATATCATAGCTTTTGCAACAGTGAAGCTTGATAAACTCCAAAGGTACTTTCTTTGAAAATGGATGAGATAAAACTTCAAAATTCTGCTTGGTTATGTATATGTATCACAGAAGTCTTGGGGATTTATACTTTGTATTTACAAAAAAAGGCTTGGATGTTTAGGTAAAAGGCCTATTTATTTGATGAACAAAGCTCTCTTTAGGAAATGGTTACGAAGAATTTGAGGGTAATAGAGCAGTTCATGGAGAAAGGTAGTTAAGCTAAAATATAGACATTCCTCTGGAAGGGGCAGAAATTTTGTTAATATTACTTGAGGCCTGGGGATGTAGAAAGATGTCATGAAGCATAGAGAGGACTCTTGAGGAGCACGGAGATTGGGATTGGTAATGGAACAAGGGTAATCTTGTCTCTGAATTGGTAAGTGATGCAGCTGTTACAGATTCTTGCACCAGTGGCAATTTCATAATTTTTGGAAAATTCTAATATTAGTGAATCTTAATTTCTTGTGTAGTTATTTTCTAGATTTTTGGGGTTGTAGTAACAGGGTTAATTGTCCTGAAAGGTTAAATCATTAAAGTGTTCCATTAAGATATTTTTGGAATTTCAAAAAGTTGAAGTTATAGGCTCATCAAATTTCTTACATCCCAAGCTTCACAAGTCACAACTTGCCTATTTGACATGATTTTGGTGTCACTTAAGTTTTTACTTTTTAGTTAGTAGCTATTCAAGAAGATCAAGATCTTATAAATCCAATATGAACTAGTGAAGTTATTGCCACTTTATTGGTAGGATATCAATCAATGATGGAATTTAAGCATTTTTTATTTTGGGGTCTATTTCAGAGTTGCTTCTTATTTGTTTAGATTTAGCAGAATTAGTAGGAGGAATTTATAGTTGTTCTAGGAGTTATGATCTATATTAAGTAGGGGTGCTCACCGAACCATGAGTTCTTTTTTCAAACCGAACCAATACCACCGGCTTTTGCAATTCCCCAAACTGATACCACCTATTAACCGGTAGACCGATTTTGGTTTTTGACTGGTTCGGTTCTTTGGCTTTTGGTTTTTTATTTTTACAATATATATTATAAATAAATATATAATGTTGTATATAGTATATTATAAATAATAAATAATATAATATATATATTAAAAATATATACCAGTTGGTTTGGATAGCTGCCGGTTTTTTCTAGGTTAACCAAAAAACTGAACTGAAACCATCTTTCAGTTTTTCAAAAATACTGAACCAGAACCAAACTGATCGGTTTGGTTCAGTTTTTCGGTTTTTTATGAGCACCCCTATATTGAAGCACCATTATGAGTTCATCTTAGGTCCAAGGTAAATAAAAGTTGTTTTTGGTTAGTCTTCTAGTTGAGATTGGAGTCTATAAAGAGAGACCTCAGCCCCTACAGTGATTCTATAAACCGAGTCATTGTAAGTCAATTAGAGAGTTAATGGAACAGAAATATTTCTTTGAGATTTACCTGTGGGTAAAAGTGTTTTCTTTACTCTCTTCCTTTTTATTATAATCTCTTCTACTTTTCTTATTTCTGGAGAAGAAAGTTATTCGATTTCTTTTCTTTATTCTCATATCTGAATTTCTTTTTTCGTAATTCATATCCTTAACCCCTTCTTTACCGATCATGTATCCTAGTGACATTTTTTCCTTTACGTCCCACATCAGTAGGCTTCTCAACTCTTCCTACCCAGATGTTGGCAGGATAGTGACCTAAAAAGGGGCCTAGGCAACAAAAATTATGGATAAAGTAGCTGGTTTGTTGATTTTTTTCTCCTCCCTGCATCCTCTAAAAGGGCTTAATGATTGGGAAATCCAGCACGTATTGATTTTTTTATCAAATCCAGCACGTATTGATCACATCTTTAACTAATGAAAAGTTCTTGTTTTAAAGGAATGAGTTACAAGCACAAACAACAGCAATGGGAAGTGTTCTGTGAAGCTGACAGTGATCCAAACTCTCCTTCATTCAATACACACATTATGTGCGGAGGCACAATATCCACCTGTTGCAACAAAAAAGGCATTGGGGTGTAGGCCCAAATGGTATGTGAAATCCGCCCATATGTTGTCCATACAATTTTTGGCATTTTATTTACCTTGTTTATTCTCAGTTGCACATAGACAACAAAACCTTGAGAGACATAATCTAATGATAAAAAAAGGTAGTTTGTTAATTAGGGCTCTATTCAGTTGATTGAGAACAGTGGATTCAGCATGGAGCTTCCATGGAAGTAGGCACAAACTGCCAAACCATGTTAAATCTTGTATTCTCTGTTTGCACTCTTGTCTTTTTGTTTCTTTTGGTTTCTGTCACTACACTAACCTAGGAGAGGACTGAGCTATATGAAGACAAGGAAGATAACAGAAGGTGGTTTGTACTCTCTTTGGTTGCAGGTGGGCTTCCCCTCAAGATGTGGCAGGACTCTTCAACCGAGACTTCTTGAGCCAACCAAAGAAAAGAGGGAAGGTTATGTGGAAAGCTACAAAGGCAGACAATTGTTGGGTGATTTGGGAAGAAATAAATAACAGAATATTCTTGGGGAAGAGTAGAACAGTGGAGGAGGTGATGGACACCATAAAAGTTAAAGTAGCTCATTGGGTAAAATCTTTGCATATCTTCCAAGACTTCTCAGTCACAGACATTCTAAGATCTTGGACAAAAGTAGCACAATTCTCAAGAGTGAAAGAGAAAGTAAGGATGGAATAGAAACCTCCAGAAGGCAACAGGATTAAACTGAATTTTGATGGAAGCTCTCTTGGAAATCCGGGACTGTCAGGTATTGGAGGAGTAATCGGAAATTCTGTAAGGAGAATATTAGCTTTGTTCTCTGGACCGATTGGCATTGGCAACTCTCTAAGAGCTGAGTTAATGTCATTGCTACAAGCGCTGAAGATAGCTAAGCAGCTAGGACTGAGGCATATTGAGGTTGAAGGGGATTCCAAGGTGATCATCTCTTGGGCCAAAAACAATAGAAGTACTCCTTGGACTTTCAAACAAGTGATAAGGGAAGTGGAAAAAGTTGCAAAGGAGGTAGAGGCTGAATTCAAATGAGTTAGGAGTGCAAATCGGATAGCTGATTATCTTGCCAAACAAGGGGCTTTGAGGCAACAATTGTTTTGGGCTGCAAAGTAAAGTGGGACAGAAATATGTACTAGTGTGGGAGCATTAATCCCATACACAAACTGTAAAATTTTAATATAACCCTAAATTTAAATAAAGTTCTCTTTTGCTGATCAAGAAAAAAAAACAGAAGGTGGTAGCATGAAAAGAAACACAGTTTCATGGTCAATTCCTTTCAACTCTTTAAGTGCTTCTTTCTTATCCTATGTTGTGCATTAGATGTACTGTGATGAATACCATGTAAAATGTCCTTCTCATGGACTACTTTGTTAGTAGATTAACCATCAACTGTCTCACCACTGACAGCATTTGTCTTATATTTGTTTTGTATGCATAGAGAATGGAGAAGCAGTCAAACATCTCATTCTACAATCTACACTACTATTAGGTGAGAGAAGATTGGTCTGATCAACTTTTGGTGTGTTAAGTTTCACAACCAATGCTACTGAATCATGGATGTTAAGTCAGGTGGGGTTCAAGGGTTTCAAGAACAATAAGCTTTATTCAAAGATTTCTCAGAGCACTTCTCAGAGTAAGAGGAGCAAATATACTTCTGACAACAACTCATATTCAGCTCATCAAGCAGCTAATGGGGTGTTTGACCCTGTAACCATTTTGATTTTCCATTCTCATTGACTTCAAAGAGAGCTACCAGATTTAATGGTAGATGGGCAATGCCACTTACCCTTTGTCTAGCATGAAAGTATGGAGGTTTTCTGTACAGCTTCCCTCTTTTCAATATTTGAATAGTCCCTCTGTAATAGAGTTGGTATATTGTATAGATAATGTATAGTGGACTTCAATGGCTTTTCATCATTTCAAATTTGATTGGGATAGAATGGTCTTTTGATGTATAGACTGTGTACAGTTCATACTATTATCTCAATCTCAAAGGTTAATGTTTTATATGGAATCAGCCTTCATTTATATAAATTCTTATCTTTACCTATCAAAAGAATGTAGTTGGGCCTACTATTTCCATTCAAAAAAAAAAAAACAATGTAGTTGGGCCACTATGGTATGGAGTGCACTCAATCTATTTCCTTTAATTATTAACATACTACCTACCATCTACTTAGTTGAGTTTATGTTGTATCTAGAACTTAATAATGCTGGAACTATGTCATCATCACCAGTGTTTTCTAATTTGTTGTTTTAGTAATGTCGAAGTACATAAAAATGCATAAGAAGTTAAGAACTTAATCACAAAATCAGAAATTGCCCAATGATTTTTGTTCTTGGTTAACACCTTAAGTTTCTGGCCAAAACTTTGGTTAAGAGGTTTAAGAAATTCTTACCTCTGTGTTGCAAAATAGATAGGTAGTGCTACAGCCACACCCTACAAAAGATAAGCTATAGAAATTATGATCACAAAAAAGAGTGATATGGATCATTTTAAATGAAGGGATCAATTCCTCTTTTCAGAGAATTGAATATAACTTAAAAGTAATGGCTTGTTTACAAGATCTATAGTAAAATTTTAACATTTCTCTTTGGGCTTTTCATTTCTTTTTCTGCATCTTTTGCACTATTTCTTACATTTTCATAATTGATGTATTGCCTTGTACTATCAACAGTGTAAAGGCACAGTAATAACTAATAACAGCTGACTACCTTAATATCTAGATAACCAAAAAGAAAAGAAAAGTAGTAGAACCAGAGTACAAGGTCTAGTTTAGGACTTAATAAGCATACCAAGTCTCCAAAAATAAGATCAACATTTTAGTAACTACTAAGTAACTATATACCTCTGGGATGTTGTGCAGAGCAATAGCTAATGCTAAGTTAAGACCAACCCGGAGTCCCTAAAATAAAGCACTCAACAAACAAAAAGAGTTAGAACTTACATGTGATTCTTAGTTGTTCAAGGCTAGAAATAAAAATATAATCAGATTTCAAATCATCATATCTGGAAAAGATGGTAAAGTCACTGCTACTTAAACAATAGGCATGCAAACTCGATGATTTAATGCCTTCATCTCAAATAAAAAATATTTTCATATAAGCATTTAATTAATTAAAACACGGGGAAAACAGAAAACAGTCTAATACAATATTATTGGAGACTGATTTTGGCACATCCCTGGTGAAATACAAACAAATAAATAAAAAACTGAATGTAATGGTAAGTCAAAACATAAGGGTGCTTTTGTCTTTTAAAGCATGTATGCTTTAGGGCATGTATGTAAGAAGAAAGTAGTTTGATCAGGTTTATTAGGTTTTTTTCTAGATAACTCTACTTGTTTCTTGCTTTCTTCCACATGGAAGGTAGATATAGTGTACAAACCATCCATCAGACAGGAGACCCTCTAGTTGGCCATGTATTCACTCCCCAGTCCACATCATCCCTATATACCACCTTGTATTGGAGCTTTCTCCAAGTGATAACAGCCTTCCAAAAGGTTGCAAAACTTCATTTCTAATCGTGCTCCAGAAAAAGGACTTGTTCTAAAAACAAGACATCGGCTTTCATCCTGAAACTTGCCCATGAGTTGAGAGGAGAGGACAACAGGTACCATGAAGATCCCAAGACATATGGATACATATATACACATAGGTTTGTGTGTTGGTCTATATTATGCATATGCATGTGTATATGCCTTCATCTTTGTGTATGTGTTCCTAATATGTATATGCACATGTTTATGTGTATGTGTATGACAGACATGCACATGTACATAGACAACTCCACCAATATCCTTCATGTCCAAAGCTGAGATAAAGCACAGCTGTGTCAGGTCAGCAGTAGGCAAAGAACTTTTGCCAAGCCCTTGTAGATATCAATCCTGAATCATTGTAAAGCTCATGCTAAAGCATTCTCATGAATTTGACAGAGAAAGAGACTCTCAACAGAATCAAATGGTGAAACAGGATTTACTTTTATTATTATTACTTTTTTTGATAGTTGACAACATATGATTGGAATAAAGCTTTGACAAGTTGAGTATTTACACATGCAGATATAAGAATACAAATAGGAGTTAATCCATGCAAAAACTCCTTGGAAGATGAGGTGTAGCATCATTTAGCTTAAACAGTTTGTATGTATGTGCTAGAAAACACAGATTTTCAAGAAGATGATTTATTGCTGGAACAGCAGACTGAAACTAGAAAACCAGCTCTTATGACCCTATTTACTGTTGAAAAAGTAGGAATAAAGACATGCTGTTCTATGCATTACCAGCCTAGCATAATATTAAGATGGCTCCATTGCCATCTAAAATTCTGACTAATTCATTAATCAATATTGCAAGTTGACCTAGTGAAAAGAAATACCCTTTAGATAAATGCATTAACAGGGTAATAACAATACTGCAAATAAAGGCAAATGAAAGAACAAATATCGTTTGCATTATTATGTACAAAATAATGCAATGTCTAAGTCTAACTAGTAAAAACTCTATCCCCATGAAGGCAGAAAAAATGCCATTAAGCTGTCAACAAAAGTATAAGAAAGTTAGAAAGGTGTTATACTTTACTAGGCAAAAGAAGAAACATAAAGTACCAATGTGGACAGTGGATCTCAAGTTAAGATAGAGTTTACACCACAAAAATTCATGCCATAATATATGCATTTAACTAAATAAGTCTGTACCTTCATTACTACTAAAACAAAGGAATGAATTAGGTCTGTCCTTATCAAAAAGCAGGAAATGAAGAGGAATTGATATACTTTGTTATGCAAAGAGAGAACATATCACCTAGAATTTTCAAATCCATTTTTTTATACTACAAAAGTCTTGCTATAGTACTTTCCTATTGCTACCAAAAAAATATCTTACTATAGCATATGCCACTGAGAAATCCATTGCTAATTACACTATGACTTTACTTGAAAACAACTTAATGAAAATTGACTATAACAAAGACCACACCATGACAGACAAACAGAACTAGAGTTACATTTATAAAGATATACATCAGTGAATTCATCTATACCCTTCTATGTAATAAAGTTAATAAATTACTTCACCAAAAAAAAAAAGTTAAGGTACCTTGATTGATCCAAGGAACACTGCCATTCCCTCTGGAAAATTGTGCAAGCTTATGCCTACAACTCATAAGAGTCAATTCATCCATCAGACAAGACCCAGAGAAGCAACCTTGGCATGGTAAAATTGCAGAATAGTAAGGCCTAATTTTTAACATATTACAGTTTTCCCCTTTTTTCTTTAAAGTAATAGTTGGTAATACCTTTCATAACACAACAATTTTACTAAGATATTTCTCACAATAAAATTCTAATATTCTAATTAAGAAAATTCGTATTATAAAATTTATGAGATGCAAGTGTGGTGGGTTTCCCATCACATTATTCAGTACCACAAGTTTCATAGATAAGCACGGTAAGCTAGTTATGTTTACAACAGTCATAACAATGACAAATTAATTGTAGTTAATTACAATATTTTAGCCAAATATTAAAGGAAAGTATGTTAATTCAGTAACCATACTAAGATATAAATACTTCAATATTTGAGTTGAGATATTGCAATTATATTATTGTTTATGAACTTAACAGTTATTTTACTTTAAAAAGAATATTTTAAGATAAACTACTAGACCTATAAGGATAATATTGTTTTTTATATTCGAGGCATAAGATGAATACATGAATAGTTCACTTAAGCGATCCAAAATAATATACCTTGGATAATCTCAAGAGCTCCTTTCCAGAGACTTCAGAAGTAACTAAAATTTGTAGCACAGAATATGCAGTATTCGAGTAACAAAAATTACAAACTATTCATTGATATTCATACAGTGGTCCAATAAATTTTCATCTAGTACATTAACAAATTAACGGAAATGTTTACTGAAAATAAAATAAAAGGCATACCAATTGCTGTGATAATTCCACTGAATAAAACTTGGCGGTGATGCTTTTTCATTAGATCCTTTCCCCTTTCATCATTTTTCTAATGCTCCAAACCACAGAGAAATAAAATTTTAAGAGACAAAATCAGAATCTCCTTTTTAGGAGTAACCAACTATAAACGTAGGACAAACTGTCTGACAAACCTTTTTACTTTTCACATCTACACTAGGAGCTAATGTTGGTTCAGGGATGAAGCTGGCAACAAAAGCAAAGAAAATAACACCGGCAAAGAACTGCATGACACGAAAAACTGAAAACCAATTAACAAAAGAAAAAGTGGGTGAATCATGTCTCAACAGTAATCCACTTCAAGAATCTGAAGAGGATAAGCTCACCCAAAGATTTCCTTTCAAGAAGCCAATGGAGTTCAAAGCATTATGTGCCAAGTCTAAGAAGGATATGCTCAACATAAGTCCTGCAGCAAAGCCCTGCATGGAGTGTTTGGGTTTTAGAAAATGCTACCATTGATGAAATTTAGACATGGAATTTCAACTTGAACTTGGTGGTCTATGTGTATGTGTGGTAAATAGATTTAAATAACAATTAGACAAATAAAAATAACAAAAAAGAAAACAACCATATTCCCTAACAAGAGTCCTTGCGTCATTCTAACAGAGAACCTCCTCAAGGAACTGTGTCCTTGTTATGTAAGTAACTAGCATTCCAGGGTAATAGGTAGATTGAATTTACCTAAGGAATGAGAGGATTAACTTTACCTGTAAAATCCCAAGCATCTTCAGATTGGGAGCCTGACTAATGATTACAAAAAGTGCACCTGTTTAACATCCAGGACTTGTAATTAAATTGCAGAACTTTTTAGGCATCCATGATTAGTTTCAGGCATTCATTAAAAATTTTAAGGTAATCAGGAAGTCATTATTCCAAGAAAGTTTATCACACAACTATAAATCAATGAATTTGAAGAGAACACAGGTTCAAAACCTCTACTTTAGTGGATGAGTTAACAAGAGAATTGTTCTTAGCCTTGATGCCCCTCAGAATTCACTTCAAAATGGAAAGGTACATTGCACATGAAGAAAATATAACTGTTATTTAAAATTATTTAATTTTAATTTTTATCTTATATGCACAAGCAAACAAACATATTAGGAAAATTACAAGCAAACAAGTATATAAAAAGTATATATACGTATATGCATAAATATATATAAGTACTTGAAACTTGGGTTTTCACCCTTGTAAAAGAAGATAAAGAAACCAATAAATGAAATCTGCATAATAAAGAGGATTCTCACACTGCCTCAGAAAAAATAAAAAACAGAAAATTCGTATCTTGAAAAAAAAATATAGGTACAACATAATCATTTTAGGTTAAAAAACTCTTAGAAGTTTTTAGAGTCCAAGGAAATTATCGGGGGCTGGAGAGTTAATATTGTGATCAAGCAAGCTGTATTAAAAAGTGACATATAGAGGAAGAGAAGCTGCCCTATAAGTACTTCAAAACAAGTAATGCACTAAAAAGTGTCTGAATACTCATTTTTCTCTGAGGGACACGTAGAGGAAGAGAAAACCTGAACACCAGACAATATTAAAATTGCCTATAAGCAAGGATACTCTATTCAAATATTTTTACATTTAGTACTTTCTAAGCATTCATTTTGTGTTTTACCTTGACTTTATTAACTTCCTTTCCAAAGTTAAATAAAGTTTAGTTTAATTCTTAAAATGATTTCCTTTTTTGTTTCCAAGGGAGAATTGATGCTGTAACTTCTTTTTTATAATATTTTATTTCTTTCAGAATTTAAATTTGTATATTATTGTTTATACAATAATATACAAATTGCCTCACCTCGTGTCTTGTGCCCCAATCTCTAGGAAACTATTATGCCTTAGTTGCACTCACTTTTAAAGCACTGCTTATAAGATCATTATGCTCCTTCAACTTTTGTTGTGCTTTGTATGGTTTGTGCAGACAAGGGTTTGGGCGACTTTATAGATTGCAATTCACCACCCAAAGTTATAGGTTGTTGCTCTGCAGGTTGCATTTGGATTTTGCAAACCCCAATTCTAGGTTGGCCTGCAGGTTCAGGACTTGGTCCAGTTCAAGCTTTCCTCACTATTTGGTGACAGTGACATTCATTGGACCTTGAATAACCACAAGCCATGGTACTCCAGTTTTATTGGTTCCCAACACTTCACTCATTTCCCAGGTGCTCCTCTCTATATCTAAGAAAGAAAGACAGGCAGTCCAAATTGTTACCTGATAAATATAAATTATGGACCAAACCCTGAGAGCAAAAAGGGAAGATCTAAACCAATTCTCCAAGAACTCAAGGCCCACAATCTGAAGCCATATTTGCACAAGTCGTGTAGAAATCTTGGCAAAACAGAACCGCTTCCATTTCCATATTTTCTTCCTTGGGATGTAGTCCAATTGCAAATTGCCTCATTCATTCCCTTTATTAAACCTTATGAGATTACCCAGATTACATAAAATCTGCCCAGGTTCTATCATCTTCAGAATTTTCAGAAGGAAATCTGCTTGATTTTAGACAGAAATTATTATAACTTTCTCAATTTGCTTTGTGGCATTTAATAATTTGAGGTATATTTTGTCTCAAGGGTGCAAAAAAAAGACCTATAACTGCACCAGTAAGGAGTGACTTGGTACAAACAAATGGCTCTAAAAGAGCAAGAGAAAGGCCAGCAAAGACATAGGATTGAAGCAGTGAGAAATGATCCAAATATGTAAAGTTTGTCTGAGGACATGACCCTCATAGATTGCAATTAAATAATAGGATTAATGTAGCCAACCCCATATAGCTGCAATAAGAATTTGTTGAGTGGAGTTGAATTGAGTTGGTAATTTGTCTTGAGAAACATGCAATTTCTTAAAGGCAAGAACAAAACCAGCTTGGATGAATCCTAAAGGGTAGCCTGAATATATTTATCTTTACAAACATTTTAACTTGCCTCCTTGAAATACTATATTAAAGAAGATAAAAAAAAAGTAATAAAATTAATTGAATTTGGAAAATTAGTTACAACATTCTCTGTCACAAAACTAGGCAAGCTATACTGACGTAACATTTTTTCCTCAGAACACGTTCAATAATTATATCATAATCCCTATTTCTGTGGTCCAACCCAAGCCTTTCACTTGAATCAACTTTACCCAATTATATTACTTGAATAAGGATTATCGAATATAACGTGCACAAATCATCAAACACTCAAACTATAAATAAAATACCAAAAAAAATGAGGCTAGTTTCCACCATATCCATATTCATAAAGAATAAACTGCAGAGAACAAATGAAACAAAAAGAAAAACAAATAAAAAGTATCCATATACAGCTAAAATATCGTAGAACAAGCAAGTAAATTTTAAGGAAATGAATAATAAAAAATAATTAGTGCATCGTTCATGATAAAATGTCACCAGTATCACAGAATTCTAAAGAGAACTAATAAAAGTTAATTTATACCCAGATGTCCACTTTGCTAATATTGTACGAGAAAACTGGAAGCAAATAAATCTTCAACAACTATCAAACGAATCATCTAAAGAAACGCCTATGGAAAAAACAATATATGACTCATTTTACATTTTAGAGACGCAAATGATAGAACAAAAGAAACCAAGTTCAGAATTTAGTTATATAGACCAAATTCACGATTCCAAGCTTTCAAAGTCATACCCATCGACGTGCTCAATCCACCGACGAGGGAGAGAGCAATAGCGACCATAACCTGAGAATCCATGACCAATCGTACTCGAAACTACAAGTTGCAATTTCCAAACAAAACAACCCGCCAGAACAGAGAAGAATATGATCTAGGGTGCTCGTATTCTCTCTAAAACAGGAAAAGGAGAAGCAGTGGCGGGCGCAAATACAATCTGCGGAGTTACTTCTCTCTGGGAAGAAAGGCAAAGAGAATGTAACGCACAAACACTAAGAGAAGGCCTGCGATTGAGAGGATAAGTGGTCACCACTCACCAGACTCATCACCATGGCACAGACCTTCAAATAAGTTGTAACTCCTCGATATTTAAGCTGCCATTGACAGTCTCGGGCTCTCAGCTTGAGAGAATTTTTAATGGAGAAGGAAGAGATTGTGTGAAGGGCTTGTCTCAAGTTTCGTTAAGCTTGCTCAGCCAATCTGTACGTTTCATCTTTTCATGTGTATTATTTATTGTATATACCTGCCTTTTCAGGCTCTTTTTTACTTCACCCACATTTGAATGCTGAGAATCTTTGGATTCCTTTTTTGTTATGTTGGAAGTGCCCATCAACCATCATAGAAGAATGGATGAATTCTGGGCCTTACACGTGGCCTTATTATTCTTTGTTGGAAAAATTCTTGATATCGGCACTTCTAAATTTTTGAAATCGTCACGTCAGTTAACAAAAACAAAACATGATCTTGGACTCTGAAAAAAGCAAAAATTAAGTTAGTTTTGCTTAAAAAAAGAAAACAAATTTTTGAACCATTAAAATAAGGGTTTTTAAAATAAATTTTGAAGTATGTGAATTATACAATTTATCGTAGACAATATTAATATATTATTATTAGATAACTATATGAAAATATGCTTTTGAAACCTGAAATTCAAGAACGTGTTTTAAACGACTATATAATAACATGTTTTCTGTTTTAAGAAACAATCTATTGATTGATCAGATGGTTTTTATTTGTTTTTAAAACCCGCAACAGAGGAAAGCAATCCATGTTGTAGAATGTCCCTGTAGTAAGGAATGGCAATGGAGAGGGGCATTCATTTCTATTGGGGATAGGGAATCCTCGAAATGGGAATATAACAAAATTATGGGGTATTTTAAAAATGAGATAATGGGAATTTTGATGTATTTGAGAAATTAGATTATAGGAATTTAGGGTAACATTTTAAAAGTTAATAATAAACCTAAAGTTATTTTAATAATTTACCATCGGATTTGGGGTGAGATTGGGGAATTATATGCCAATTCCATTCCAGCCTCGTATCTAGTTGAGGGCAAAAATGTTTTCCCTATCTCCACCTTGTCCCATTTAAGACCGGGGAAAACCCTCCCCATTCGGGGTGGGACAGGGCAGGGCCGGGCCTTGGTTCAATAGGGAAAATTGCCGGCCCTAATTTTGGTGCTAAATTTGATTATATAATGTTATCATGTCTTTACCTTTTATTTGCACACGTATATACAGCATGTCCTTAAATTAGTAATAAAAAAGATGTAAAATAATTTTTCTATACAAGTTTTCTTGCAACTAAAGCTTGTGGCATTTAAGCCCTCTTTATATGTAACTTTTCCCAATTACTCCTTTTTATGGCAAATAAAATTTCATTAAAGAAAAAGAGAAAACAAGATAAAGTTTTCTTGTTGTTTGGTCATGTGTTATTAGTTTGAATATTTTTATTGTTCGAGGGAATTTTACTAAAGATAAACTGGTTTATTATTTTATACTAGTAAAAGTGTACGTGGCAATTTCAAATGATGGTGACGATAATAATACTTCAGTGTTTTTATTAGAATTCACGAAACAAATAATGGTGATCAAACCATGGTGTACTGATGTATATATAGTCATTCAAATTAAAGACTTAACTTCAAATGTTCTTATAGTTTCTATAAATGTTTTTAATGTATTGTTGAACTATAGAGTTGGATTTATTAGTTTGTCAACTAGACACAATTTTTAAGTATCTTTTAACCTAAATCACTTTATTGTCAAAAAAAATCATTGACTTGGTCAAACAACCAAATAAGGTCCTTATTGGTTGAACTACTAATTTATTTAACCAAGAAAATGGATTATGGTTAAGACATTCATTTTATTTTTGGTATTTTTAGCCATTTTTATCTTTACTAACAATAATTCTCATTTTTAAATTAAAATATTTTTGTTTAATCTGAATAACATATAATATTAATGCATGTTCAATATTTTTTTATAAAACTAATGAAAATTATATATTTTTATTTTTATTATTTAATAAAATTTACTTATTTACCAAGAGGAAATGCAATTCCAATATATTGTTTGATATTGGTTTTTAATTTGAGGGTTAAATCAATTGATTATATTGATAAATCAACCATCCAAATCAAGATTGTAGGTCTATTTATCACTAAATTAAACCACTTGCCTATGGTGACTTAGCTAACTAAATCATTAAATCATTTGACATAGCTAGCGGAGTCATGTGTTAGATATATGCTTTTTTATAATTTTTCTTCTATTTTTTATCCAATTTCATCATTAATGGAAAATAATTCTCATTTATCACACTTTTTTTAATATATAATATTATCAAAATTTATATGCAATTTTATACATTTCTATAGTTTCATATATTATATCATTTAATTATACCATCATGTGTTGCCCCATTTGTTATGGACAGTTAAACCACTAATCCACCACTTGGATGAAAAAATACTTTGCTTTTTTCGGTTGATTTTCACATTTATTTAATATTATGCCAATTTTTGCGGGTTGGCATGGAATTTTTTATATGGTGGGTCATAATGGAATTTTCCTTATATTTTATATATTAATATTGTTATGATACTTAAACACACACATAGGTGTCAAGCCCATGGGCCTTAAAGGTCAAGCCTGGCCTAGGGCCCAGGCCATACTTGGCATGGCACGGTATTGGAGACCGGATCTGCTCCTCACACCTGGTGCCTCACACGCACATCCTATCATGCATTGGGAACATTTACCGCATCTATTGATTATTATTCACGGGAGATATTCCCAATGCATGATGGATGTGCCTGTGAGGGGCCTATTTGTGAGGAACAAATCCCGTCACACAGTATTGTAGCACACAAGCCATGCCGACCCGTGGGTGGCCCAACCCGTTTTACAACACCACTATGTCTTAACTTGTACGTAGTAAAACTAAACCACCCTCTACATGTAACATGTGCAGCTTTGAAAAGGGTAAATTACAAATAGGTATCTCATACTTTGGGGATAATAACATATAGGTATCTTAAACTTTTAATTACAACTAAATTCTTAAAAATAGACATTTGAATCGTACTCGATTAGTTAAACATCATATGGTGTCAAAACTACCCTTCTAGGTCCCTAGATGAATTTAAAAACCTATAAGTGAACTATAGTTAAGCGAGACCATACAAGTTGAATTGACATAAGGGTTATTTTGGCATTATATAATATTTAAGTAACGGAATAATAATGGATGCACACAAAGTGTCTATAATTTTAAGAGTTTTCGATTGAAAGCTGGGGGCATCCATCTATCACAGTAGCTCGAAAGTACGAAGGTGTATGAATCTTCCCTTTAAATTACCCTTGAAAAAAAGAATGATAATGGTTGAATTCCCGTGGACGTGGTTTCAACAAATAAAAAATCACGACAACGGCGCTCGCTCTCTGCACGGCCGAACCCAATGGCGCCTGGCGTCCGTACACCTCATATGGAAAGCATGGAGCTCTGAAGGACCATGCCCTCTGTTTCATTCGTAACTACGAAAAAACCACGCCACGCCGACACCATACATATTTTTACTTCCGATTTCCGAAACATCAGAAAATAGGGGCAAATTCGTATTTATCGCGTGAATTGGATGGCCACGGTGTTATCTCCCTTAGAAATGAACCACCAAAAACCCTAGAAAGCACAGAAGGAGGATCAACCGATCAAACTTCGCTTTCAATTTCGACGCCATCAATTTCGTTTGGTCTCTCGCTCCCCCTTTTTCTCCCCTTGGTTTTGGATTTGCTGTGAAAAGTCGAGAAATTCGATTTGCAGAAACATTTCCCCGTTCGCCATGTCGAAGAGGTAATGCTTTCTTCACTTTTGCATTATCTAGCTGAAACGGAGCTTACTCATTTATCTAGGGTTTTAATTTTTTTCCCGAAACTCAATACTTTTTTTTTTTTTCTTCTATTGCTTTTCCTCTTTTCTTTTAAATTATTTGACGATTGTTGGATGAAATCTTGGTTGAGAGGAAAACTGACTGGAGTCTAGGTATGGGTATTTTAGGAAATTTGGAACAAGGAAATAGGTGTGTTACGGTAGGGCCTGTTTTGTCTCGTGGGTTTCATGAATTCAGGGTTTTAAGCTTGAGAGTTATTTAGAATTCCTGGTTGAGAGACAATAATACTTGTATTCTTTCTTCCTTCAAGAATTTGGTTTTAGGAGGTTCGGAAACAATTGAAGATTATGCATTTATCAAAAAAAAAAAAAAAAACAATTGAAGATTGTTTCAAGATTTAAATCCTTCAATTGAACAAGAAATTATTATTATTTTTTTTTGGGGAGGGGGGCGCTCAAAACACATTCTAAGAATTGATTCTTAAAAATTTTAGCTTAAAAAGATTCGTTTGTTGGTTCAAAACTCATCCTTCAATCAAAAAAATATTTGTCTTGATTACTTGGAGTATATTATGCATGGAAAGGGAAAATCATCAATCACCTTCAAAAGCTGGTTACAGTAGCCGGCTTCTACACCTAAAACAGTCTGCGGATTATATGAAAAGGCCCTTCTTTTGAATGTAAAGAAGTCCTTAAGTTCCAACACCAAAATATTTGCAACATTTTACAATTGTGCCTTTAGCAACTTTGCTCTATTTTTCATTGTCAGGCCCCACAGGCTACTTAAATTTCTCCACACTTCTCACTTATCTCAAATTTATCATTTTTTTTACATGTTTCTTCTTTTATTTCATTATATTAATTCCTTCAGGATTCTTTGCAAGTTCTTTGCACATGGAGCATGTCTAAAAGGGGAGCACTGTGAGTATTCACATGATTGGAGGGACCAAGCAAATAATGTAATGTCTTTGTTCTGTTTACATTTTCCAAATATTTGTAGATGCATGGTATCTTTCCTTATAGTTTCTTTTTGTTGTAACGATAGGTGTGCACCTTCTATCAGAAAGGAGCATGCTCTTATGGTAGTCGATGCAGGTATGAACATGTTAAAATTTCTCGTCTGCAACATTCGGTCTCATCATCATCAACAAATTCTCATCAACATTCTTCTAGAATTACATCAAGTGGGGAAACCGCTTTGGTCCCGAGTTTTCCTGCAGAACTTTCATCTTTGAGTAGACCCTTCTTTCCTCCTGGTAAACCGGCTTGGAGTCATGCTTCAGGAGATTATAACTTCTCAGACAATGAAAATGATAGGGAATCTGTAATTGTTAGGTCTGCTGACCATTCTATTTGTTCATTTGCTGCTGCTGGTAATTGTCCTCGTGGGGAAAAATGTCCACACATACATGGGGACTTATGTCCCACTTGTGGAAAACATTGCTTGCATCCTTATAGGCATGATGAAAGAGAGGAGCACATGAAGATGTGTGAAAAAAAGAAAAAGCACCTTGAGGCATTGAAACGCAGCCAAGAAATTGAGTGCAGTGTGTGCCTAGATCGTGTGCTTTCAAAGCCCACAGCTGCTGAACGGAAGTTTGGATTATTATCAGAATGTGATCATCCGTTCTGTATATCCTGCATAAGGAGTTGGCGTAGTAGTTCACCAGCTTCTGGCATGGATGTTAATACTGCATTGAGAGCCTGCCCAATATGCCGCAAGCTTTCATATTTTGTCATTCCAAGTGTCATTTGGTATTCCACAAAAGAAGAAAAGCAGGAGATTATCAATGGCTATAAAGCAAAACTCAGGTACCATAATAATTGTATAGATTTATTTATTTGGTAACTGAAAACTATATTTATTGAGAAAAGAACAAAGAATGTATATATACAATGATGGCAGTCATCTCCAATTTGATCTCACCCCCCTAATTATGGTGGCAGTGGGATTTAATCTCAAGTCTTTGCTACAGAAAGCTAGAGACCTTACCAACTGAGCCACCATCAGTTGGTTAAATAATAATTAATTGATTAATTACTACTACCTTACCCCTTCCCCATATACGACTCATTATTCTGGGTGTTACTAATTGATTTTGGAACTAAGCTAGCTTCTTTTTGCAGGTCTATTGATTGCAGATACTTTGACTTTGGAAATGGCACATGTCCTTTTGGGACTAGTTGTTTCTACAAGGTATATTGATTGCTAACAAGAAACTCATAGTTGATATTGCCAAAGCATATTCACATGTTTCTTATTTTGAATGTAATCATTGTTTTGCATTCTAAATGCCTCCTTGCTCTTGCATGTAATGTTAAGCTGTTTAGTTTTTCTAGTAAATTTCTGTTGCCTTTTCTATCTGATGGATACGGTTGAATAAGTTCTTGTTAGCATGGGTTCACTTCCTTTGGTCTAGTTCCTTCTCTCTTGTGGTTGAATAGTCTTCTTGTAGCCTCATTTTGAGGCTTCCTTGGTTAAGCCCTCTTTTACTGGCTTTGTGCCTGTACTCTTTGTTATTTTCCTGACATAGATATACTCTTTTTATTTCCTGATAAAGAAGGTGAATTGCCCTTTTTGCTTGCAAGTCTCCTTATTGCCCTTTTAAAACATAACTTCCTAATCATTTCTGTGTTTGTGATGTCATAACTGGGATGTAAACTTTCTTGAAGGTGCGGGCATTCTGTTATATGATCAATTCATTGACTTTAGTGTATGTTCTATGATGAATTGACAATTTCTTTTAACTATCCAACCTTGTTGTATCATGAAGATTGTGTAAAAATTTTTAGTTGAAAATGAACTGGATTGGCAGAACCAATGGCGGCTTACAGTCCTAGAATTAATGAAATTGCATTACTCCATTAAAGCTCCATTGATCTATTGTCAGGAACAAATTTGTATTTGTATCTAGTGCTAGGCTTGATTTTCTTATATATTGGTCCTTACATTGAAGTTTTGTTGCATGGATTTTTCTATTTGCAGCATGCTTTTCGTGATGGTCATCTGGAAGAAGTGGTTCTGCGGCATCTTGGAGCTGAAGATGGGAACACAGTCATTGCAAAAGATATTAGGTTTGTCCTACACCATGATCTTGTTATTTGGAATCAATTTTTTGGCAGGTTCTTGGTTCTTTCATTTCACATTTTTCCTGTGCTTTTTTAGGCTCTCTGACTTCCTTGGTAGCTTGCATTTGAGGTGAGCGCTGCTTGATTGAAAGGCTTTAAGCGTAAGTTCTCAATTTCCCCAAAAATCTTGATTTTTTTTAATGCTTCAATACCACAATTAAGAGGTGGTGTATTTAATCTGGGATTAATCATCCAAAATAAAAGAGAAAAACAGAAGTTTGCTTCATTTAGGATATAATTAATATCATATTATTTACACCATCATAAACTTATGATGGCAATATGAGCCTTTGTTTATTATGGCATTTTCTGGGGTAACCAGTTCTGTATTTGTGGCTAAGAAGTCAGTGGCCTATGCTAAGCCTCCACTTATTTGGATTCACATGGTTCTTCTAATCTGCAGGTTCCTTTTTATTGACTAAATGCTTGCCTTCTAAAATCCTACATTATTATTTTTTTCCACTTTCTCTGATTTTGGTGTCTATATTGACAGGATGTTTATTGTTAGCAAGCAACTACATGTGACTTCAAGGCCCAAAAAATTTGTCTTTTTCCCATGCTGTACTTCACTTCTTTGCAAGGTTAGATGCTCATTTCCAAGACTACAAGATTATTTAGTCAACTTCAACATGGTTGAAATCCTAAGCCATGCCTGAGGTGACGGGGCCTTTTTTATTTCCTTGAGGCATTTAATCTGCAGTTAAGAAAGAATAATCGAATTATAAAGTATTTGGAAAATACACAATTCGGAAACTTCCAACAAAATATAAAATGGCCTATCTGTTTACCTCGTAATTACTCCAAAGGCCCTTGTCTTGGAGTTGGAAGGGTCCATTAGAAGTCCAAAATGGGCACTGACATATGCTCCTTCACATTACCATCAATTGCTTGATAGCTTATCTATTTTGGAGCCAGTGCTCCACAGAGTGTACAATAACCTAATGAGAAAATATCCAATGAACACATACAGGTGCAATTAAATATTGTATTAATCAACAAAAAAGGAGTAAAAAAGAATATGTTTAATTAAAGGTGTGCAAAAGGAGCAGCAAACTTAATAGGCTCTGTGACAGAAATATCCACTATCACTTCTTTGCTGAGAAAGTAGTCTGTAGTTTATATTTTTCTGGTTTGTTCATCTAATATGCCTGGGTCTAGTGTATTTAAAGGGGTTACTTTTTTTTTTGATAAATAACAATGACTTTTATTAAGATATTTAAAGGGGTTACTTTAGCCCATTTGTTGTAATCTTACGGTTATTCTAAGTGAGAGCATATTGATAGTGGCCTGGCTGATTGGGAGAGTAACTTTTCTCCCTCATTACCACCTTTCTTACTCTTATTTTGATTGTTCTTCTCTTCCCTTTTCAGTTATTTTCTCTTCCCTCTTTCTTGTGCACCTAGAACAGAGTTCATTCTTCATGTTGGTCCTTGAATAAGAGAGGGGGGGGGGTGAGTTTCCAAATTGGACACTGAAGTCTTACAATAGTCTGATGACATGAAGTTATCTGTCAATGTTATCTACTCCTTTAGTTCAACTCCCTTTCCTTGAAAAAAAGAAGGGGGGGGGGTCCCACATAAAATTGTTTCGGACATGGATGTTGGTGAGCAAGAGGCCCAGTGGTGTGGTTTGGTAACTTCTGCGATGGATACATCTATTTGGACTCCCACTACATGCATCGAGTTTGGTGACCTTCAAGGAAGTTGCCAATGCCCTTGGCAGTTTCATCGCTGTCGACTCTGCAAATCTTGAATGGAAACTGTGTTAGGATGCGTATTTGGTTAGGTCTCTTGCCAAGATACCAAAAAATATGGAGATCATTGTTAAGGGTTCTAGGTTCATGAGTGGCTGTTGAAGATGAAGCTAGTTCATTGAGAAAGCTTCAGCCAGTTGTGGCTCTATGTTCAAGCAAGATTTTCTGAGTTGCAATAGGTGGAGGTTAAAGTGGCAGAGAAATCAGAACCTGTTTCTTGCCTCAAAAGATTAAGACAGCTATCTATACTGCCTCTGATTCGCAGGCGAAGGAGGTGAAGTTGTTTAATGTTTCAGGTGCAGGTCAGTTAGCTAATTTGGATCAAGTAAATGGGTATGGCTTAAAGTCGGAGTGGGGGGTGGGGGGAGTAACTAGTTGCAGTGGGCCCAAAAAGTGAAGCCCAGTCACCCCCCTCTTTGTTGCTTAAAAGCGGTGGGCTGGTCTAAGTGATGGTCCAACCACGAGAGTCTGAAATCCATGTTGGTTTTCCAGAAGCTCAAGCCAAGTAGGTGTTTGGTACCATTGCCATTTTTTATCAGAAAAGCACTGCCAGGTCAGCTCCAAGTAGGTGCTTGTTGCAATGGAGACTCACTTGTTTTTTGAACCGTTTAAAGTGAAGTGGTTGGACTTTCACTTTTCTTGGGTTATGTGAAACCACATTTTGGAAGAAACATCAAAATGACATTTCTTGGAATGGCAAACCCCGACCTATGCTACAGTACCCTTTGAATTGTGATAGATTTCCGCACCTGTCATTGTTCACACAGCTGTAGAAAGTAGAAACGTATAAAAAATTTTGAGGTGGAGGAATGTATAAAAAACCCCTTTATCTTATGTGGTGCCTAGCTGTCATAATGAAATAGTAAAAATGTGCACTGGGTTATGTGCATAATGCCACCCACTTTTCTGTTTCTCAAGAGAAATTCCATACAAATGGTACCTGAGAAAACGACAATGGTCCCAAACATACCCTAATTCAAGGAAGTTTCAGTTGGGTGAGTTGTAGGTTCAAATGGTTGAAAGTAGTGAGGAATCAGATTGGTCAGTTAACAGTCTGGACTGCATTTCTGATTGTAGGAAAGCGAAGATATTAGCTGAGTTCTATGATGACATAGTTGTTAAAATCTACAGCAAAGGAGCTTGTAGAAGGTGCAGTAGGGGACATGGAGGCAGGGGTAGGAAAGTGTCATTAGGCAGGTAGGGGCCGGCCCAGGCCTTTTTTGGGTCTTTGTGGTTCCGAGGTTTTCTTCTAATCTGTTAGGCAGGTTTTTTTGGGCCTGTGGGTTTTGGTTGTCTTTGTTATTATCCTTATTGGCTCCTAGAGCAGTGTGATTACACATTCTTTGCTTTTCTCTTTCTTAATTTAATTTACCTTACCTTTCTCCAATAGAAAAAAAAAAATTGAAGACAAATAGAAAATTCCTAGACTCAACTTTATGACCCACATCATAAGCACTGACAATGTACAAAATAATGCCTTCCCACTACTTATCAAAAAAAAAAAAAGCCTCCTGCCTCCCCACCCCAGCTCTAGCTAAACTGTCTTTCACCTAATTGAGCTCTCTGGGTCCATCTATTATAGTATCAGTTCATTGAGTTCAGATATGCGCCCCACGATGTCCCACAGCGCATCCCTGCCTTGTATTGGGAACATCTCCCGATGATGACATTATCAGGTCTGGTACTATCATCGGGAGATGTTCCCAATACACGGCAGGGATGCTCTGTGGGACATTGTGGGAACTCCAGTTTATCACTATCTCCTCTATTCTCTATAATCTGCCAAAGAAACCACTAAACCTAGAGAAAACATTTGTATGAAAGTAGTTTGCATATTTTTCCTCTTCGTTTTCCCCCAAATAAATTCTCTTTGAAACATAGCATGGCGCTTTTGTGCTTATGTTATTTCCAAGTATACATTTGATTCTGATTGTGATATTGGTTTTTTCAGTCTTCTATGAAATTCTTGATGTCTTGTTTCTTTTTGAAAATTCTTTTCTTGCTAATCTGTTGACTGTCATACAGAAGTTCTTGCCGGGGAGCCAAACAACGGACTTGAAGGTGCAGTCATAAGAATAAAGTGCATTCATTATTAAACAAAAAAAAAATATATATCTATATGTGAGAAAAAGGGTTAAAAATGGATGAAAGATTGTACATATTTTTGAGAACTTATGTTTGTTGTATGCGGTGGTTCCCCTAAAATAGCACTAGAAGGATTCAAAATGATGGGTGAAGTGGGTGATTATTAGACAACCCCATGTACTCATCATCACTACATTAGAAGCTGTACATAGATTGATATGCTTTTGGATGTGGGATTTATATCAATATTGCATGATATGATGAGGCCGAAAAAATTATTTGAAATTGTATGTGTACATATATAGACTCAAGAAATAAAAATACAAAAAAAAGGGGTCTTCCAGAGATTCTGCCATTGTACGCATCTGGGTTTCGATAGTTTTTATTTTCGCAGGTTAAAATGAATCCGAATTTGAAATCTATTAAATTAAATGTCAATGCTGATATTTTTTTTTTGGTATTCGGTGCATGGCAGTTAATAACTTCCTCCCTGACCCCTTTTTCCCGAAGTGCTGATTGCGGGATTCTATTTCGCGTTGGAACAAACCAGCTAACACACCTACGAATCAGTCCTCGGTAATGTGATAAATGCTGAGAAGTTTTACAGGCACTAGACGACAGGTAGAGATGAGTTGGGACTTAAATATGCTTCATCAAGGAACTGAAAAGGATGTACTTAAGTTTACCCTTTCGAGCTCTCTATCTTTACTAGGTTACAGATTTTTAAAGTTCAATTCTAACGTCGTTAATGAACAAATTTCCCATAATCTCTCTTGGTTCGTCTCTTCTCTGAGTCTCTCACCAGGCACCCCCCACCCTCATCCATCGACTCCTTTACCCAATCACATTGACATGTTAAGGGTTTCAACCAAAGGTGGATAAACGGGCCATCTGCCTGAGTCCACATCACCTGGACCTGATTCAAAGGAGATTCCTTGTACCATTCATTTTCTTTGAATCCAAATAAGAAATATTAGGAAAAAAATGAACCAACAAAATGAGAAATTTGAAAACCCATCACTTATTTCATAGATATAAACAAGGGAAGATTCGAGGAGTAAATAATATCAATAAAATGAAATGGAAGAGCACTTAAATTCTACGCAAATCGAGGTCAAAAGGGTGAATGCCCAGCATTTCAGCTTTATTAATCTCTTTTTTTTTTCATTCACAAACTTCCCGAGGCTGAGTTTGGAAGGAATACAAATGCAAATATGTAGAGCGCAAAATCTTATATTTTATATTATTTTGCATGTATTTATGCTGTACATATTTGCATTTATAATCTTTTCAAACTGAGCCTCAGAAAAATCAAAACAAATGGCATCATATGATCATATCTATTCTAGAGATGGGCGTTTTTTTCTGAGTTTTTTGAAGCTATTTTGGATGTGGATCCTTTACCCTTCTCACCAGACAAAAAACCCGAAACTCGTCGAGTATTACAGAAAAATGATCTTTCATCGCTCATTCTATAATGTATTATTATTCTCTTTACGCCTTTTCAATTTTTAATGCGGTTGATACTTGAGACATATAACGAGAACCTTCTCAATACAAGAAAAGGGGAGAAATCTAATCTCTCAAAGAACACCCCCCCCCCCCCCCCAAAAAAAAAAATAAGGAACCAACCAACCTTGCAGCATACAAAGAAGAAAAGGAAGTTGAAAGAATCAAAGGAGCACTGTTCGGTAAGATTCCCAATCCACCAACCACAACATTCAAACGAAAGAGGAACGAAATCTCATCCAAATATTATATCTGCCAAGACCCTTTAACATGGGCTCGTGGATCCAACCCGAATACATTCTCTTTTATGTATTTGATTTGCACAAAAAGACAGAGAGCAAGTATGGAGTAACTGGTGACGTCTCTATGATAACGATCGATCGATCAGATTAATAATCAATCATCTCTATCATTCAAAGCGGTTTTCTCTCAGACTTGAGAGTTCCGTTTTATTTTTGACAATAATACCCATAAAAGATATCCATACATAAACTGCAGAAAACAACGCAACTCTGAGCAAGAAAGCATTACTCTCGTTCAGGTTTTTCAGACTTGTCACATCGCAATATCAGTGTCTCGACAAAGTCATCGAATGCACGAAGCGAAGATCCTCTCTGTCCGTCTCCCTCCATTACAGCCATCTTCATCTCCTCTCTCAATCCCTTAGCTTTCCTTCTCATCTCCTCGCCTTCCTCACCCTCCATCACCAATCTGACTATCCTCGCCACATCTCCGCCTTCCACTATCGCATCGCTCCCTCTTGCCAATTCCATGCACGCACCCAGCTCCTCCTCCAACAATTTCGAATTGTAGAATTGCTCCGCCGCAAGAGGCCACCCGATGATGGGCACTCCTCTGCCCAAGCTCTCTAAAACCGAATTCCAACCACAGTGGCTCAGAAATGCACCCGTCGATGTGTGAGACAGTATGTCAATTTGAGGCGCCCAGTTATGCACCAGCAGACCGTGTTTGCTATCTTTCATTCTTTCTTGGAACCCATCCGGCAACCATTCTTCTCTGAAACTCTCCCTGCCGTCGAACCCAGTCGGATTCCGAAGTGCCCAGATGAAAGGCCTCCCACTCTGTTCCAACCCATTTGCGAGCTCCTTCATCTGAGCGACGGTAACGCTGTTCTGCGACCCAAAGGACACGTACAACACTGAATTGGGTGGGTGCAGGTTAAGCCATTCGATGCATGCTTCGGGGGAAAGCCCAGGCCGTTTCCCTCCTCTTTCGTGTTCGTCACAGGACCTGGGAAGCAGAGGCCCAATCGCCCATACGGGTTTGCCTGTTGATTGTGCCCAGTTGTGGAGGCTTGACTTCTCGAGCACTTCGACGGTGTTCCAGAGACTCCCGTCGGATCTCCGGCAGCAATCCGCCTGTCGTTTGACGAATTCCGATGACCTTTTATCCTTGGATGCAGCTTTCATGTTGTTGGAGAGTTGGGTGCGGTGTAGGGTGATGCCTGGGACGTCGGGGAGGGTGAACACGTCGGAACAGGTGAGCGTGTGGGGAAGATGAGTCCAGATGGAGTTATAGATGGACATGGCGTAAGGACCGGAGGTGTAAAGAGGGATATGAAGGGACCCAAAGCTGTGTGCAAAATCGATCGTCCATGCTAAGAACATATCGGAGATGATGCAGACGGGGGGACGACCGCCGTCTGATTCGGTAATCTGGGAGATGAGACGGTGGAAGGAGTGACGAAAAAGGGACTCTGAGCCAAGGTAGAAGCGCGAGATGTATGATTGTGTTGTGAAGACGTCGGTGTTCTCAGCGTTGTCAGGGAGAGGGGGGTCGCCGTCGATGTGGAAGGAGAGGTCGAGGAAGCGGATGGTTGGGTAGGAGAGGAAGCGTGGGCGTAGGCTAAGGTTGTTGGCGGGGGTGCTGACGAAAGTGATGGTAAGGGAAGGTGCTCGGAAGGCGAAGAGACGGGCCAGATCAAGGAAAGGGTTGAGGTGCCCCTGCGCCATGAACGGGAACAGGACGACGTTCTTACCATTCCCATTCATCTTCTGCTCTCTGAGCCTCTGAGAGTTGATGGTGGAGACTGGAGAATGTCTCTTCTGTTGAGATCAGATGTGGATCTCTCCCATTTCCATCCTTTTAAAGTCAAGTGATAAAGGTGATGCCGACAGGATGAATAGAACGAGCAGCCGAGCAGGGAGATTCAACCCATGGGGATGGGGCGCTGCCACCGAGAAAACCTTTATTTTCATTTTCTCTCTCGTCCTTTGTCTCTGAAGGCCAAATTTCTTAAATAAGATTTAGTAAATTTCTTAAAATGTTTATTTGACAACAAAGATCCGACTTCCGAGTGGAGTGGATTACAAAAAAATTCCTGCCCATTGCTCATTCCTTAGTGATGCCTCCCATTCCTAATCTTCTCACTACTCCAACTCCAACCCTAAGAAAAACACAGAGAAAACCAGCAACCTGTAAACCTCCTCCCTAATTTTCCTCATCGTTGTCTCAGGTGATTTATGATCATTATCAGAATCAAAACAAGGGTAGAATAATCCAAAAAGAAAATTAGAAAATACAAAAAATGAACACAAATTGCAAACCCCAAAATCCGATATTCATTTGGGATTCTCTTGTTGGAGCTTCTCCGGGAATTGACATCAACGTCAAAACCAATGCCTGATTAACACACTGCTGTAGCTGTAATTCAGGGCGGGTAGAGAGTCGGTAGGAAAAGTGAATAGGAAATTCTCAGTGAAAACTGGTGTGTTTGAAAATCACCTCCCGGTCCAAAATTGATATCAGCTCAGGGAACATCTCATCATCATGACAAGTACGGGAGATATTTTTAATGTACGCTGAGATGTGCATGTAAGGCGCACATAGATGCTCTGTCTCTATTATACTTTTGTTTGATGTAGAATCTCTGGCATGGTTTTTAAAACCGACCCGGTGACCAAACCGATTAAGGGTCCGGTTACTGGGTTGAATGGTTTAACCTTTCAAATCGAACGCTCAGCCTGTCCTAATAGAAAAATAAAAAGAAATAAAAAATGGTTAAAACCGTATTGTCTGGTTCAATGGTTCACTGATTAAAATCAACGGTTTGGGGGAGAAATTCGGTTTTTGGGGAAGACGGAAGTGACCGATTCCCGGTTTTTATGGTCTGACCATCTAATCCGGTCCGGTCCAATTTTAAAAACCATGATATCTGGTAAGAACTTGTAAGAGAGAGAGAGAGAGAGGCTGTTCACTTTGTTCACACATTTTTAATGGATCCGCACAGATGATGCAGAAAAATGAAGAGAGAGAAAAAAAAAAAAAATAGGACTTTCTGAGATAAATCGGTTGACGGGACAAAGAAAGCGAAGGAAGACCACATGTAGCAAACAAACATTTATCTTGGGTTGTTATTAGAAAACAAAAAGTTGTATTATTACAAAGATAAAAGTTAAAAGTAAATGAACAGGCGTAACTCTCTAGAATGTGAGATTGATTGATTGATTGATTGACTGAGAGAAGGAGACTGGATCTGTTTCTCACACTTTGCGCCTCACTGGCGCTTTAAAAGCACATCTTGCCATGCATTGGAAACATTTCCCGTACTTTTTAATGAATATTTACGGAAAATGTTGCCAATGCATGGTGGATGTGCATGTATGGCGCCCATTTGTAAGGAGCAGATCCCGTAGAGAGAGGACTGAAACTTCATTTTTGGAAAGATTTTGGTGAGATTAGATCTGTGCCCCACCAACATACCATATGCAGATCTGAACATGCATTGGCGAGATTAGATGTTCCCAATGCACGGTTTGAATGTGCTATAGGGCGCAGATGTGATTTCACTTTGGCTGTATGGTCTCTATGCCTGACACGACTTCACATATGCGCCTTACATGCACATCTCAGAATGCATTTGAGAACATCTTCCATATTTGTCATAGTTGGGATGTGTTTGGACGGATTGGCCGGACCAACAAGACATGTTGGATTGGACCAATCCAGTCCAAAATATTTATTAGATTGGATTGGACCTGGTCTATTCATAACAAATTTATATTGGATTGGGTTGGATTAAGTCGTTATCTGGTCCATTGATATAAGATAAGAATATACGTGTCAATCAAAATGAATTTGAATAGATTGGATGGTCCAGACATTGAATTGGACCAGTCCAAAACATTCATTAGATTGGATTGGACCTGGTCCATTTCTAATAGACTCACATTGGACTAGATCGGATTGGACCAAATCTAGTCCAATTGACACCCCTACCGTTTGTGGGGCGCCGCTCTTTGTGGTGCAAAGATGTGAATTTGCATGACATGGAAAGATAGAGGGAAAAATTCTTGTGAGGCTCTTGTTGGGACCATTGTTGGGACATGATCCGAAGTTTTGAATTCCTCTTTCGATTGCCTCCGCCTCCATTACTTAGCTTTGCCTCGACTCGGTTTCAACTTGAGCTTAAGGTTCTAGCTCGATTCGAGTTCGGCTCGGCTCGAATCTACTC